TCCTTTCCGGCGGGGGGGGGGGCCTGAGCTCCCGGGGCCCCCTCCCGCGGCCGCGCGGCCCCGCCCCCAGCACCGCTGCACGACTCAGCTTACCTGGTGCTGCAGTGTCCCCGAACCAGTGCGGGGGCGCAGCACGCCCCTCGCCTAATATTGGGTGCCTCAGTCTTGGCGACCCTAGGCTATCTAGTGTCTCACCTACCACTCGGGTGCTCATTTTCCGTCTGTGGATCCCCGTGGTCTGCAAGCCATGAGGTCTAGGTACGTATTTTCCCACACGACTGTTTCCCCTATTCTGCTCTTCTGCAGGTTCGTTTAAGGGTTCGCCCTATACCCCAGATATCCAATACTGCCCCACACCTACTCACAGCTTGCACCCTAAACTGGTTGTGATGGTACACACCTGCATTTGAGAGATGAAGTGAGTCAGGAGTGCAAGGCCAATCTCAGCTACACAGAGTTCTAAGCCAGCTTGAGATGCATGAGAACCCAGGCAAGCAAGGGTGCCTGCAGCCAAGCCCAAGTTCCTGTGTTCCTTCCCTGGGTCCCACATGGTAAGAATGCCTACTCCCACAAGTTGTCCTTTGATGTCTAAAGATTTGCTGTCCCCTTGCCCACTAAATGTGTAATAAAAACTTTATCTTGTATCCATAGAGGTCTGTTATGGAATGACCCATCCCAGACAACCCCTTTCCCTTGCAATCAATTACCTTTTCTTTCTGTTGGTGCTCTGGTGTCAACCCAGGATCTGTCCTATTTTAAGAGCCCATGCTCCCAAGCCCTACCTGCTTGTTCCCTGCAAAGCCCCCACAGCCAAGCAAGCGAGAGTCTTGTCTTGTAGGTGGGCCCTTTCCACCTATCTCCGGGACACCAGCCTTCTTTGTTTCCAGTGAAGGGGACTGACACAGAGATTCACTCAGTACCCCATGCTTGCCTGCAAGTTAACTGTGTAGACAGACCAGGCTTGCTTCAAGGTTAGGTGTGTCACCACTCCCGAATTTTTGTAATACTAAATTCCGTGGTGTGTGGTGTGTGTGTGTGTGTGTGTGTGTGTGTGTGTGTGTGTGTGTGTGCTCGAGAAAAGGCTATCAGATATTCTGAAGCTGCAGTTGTGGGCAGCTGATCACATATGCACTAGGAATGGAACTCAAGTCTTCTGGAAAAGCAGTACTGGTTATTAATTGCCGAGCCTCTCCCAGAGTTTAGTTTTTCAAAAAACTCGTATGATGAAGCACAGTGGCCGTGTCTGGTGGACAGGACAGGACATGCCTGTCCTAGGTTTGGGCCTTCGCTTCGTGGAGCACTGGGTACCCTGGGATGGGATGTGTATGTAAGAGCTGGAACATGCGTGCAGGAAGCATGTGAGGAAAGGAGTAGGGTTTCTCGATGCCCACTGCCCAGGGGATGTGTCCAGGTTATAGGGGTTGGGAACCCGATGTCTCTCATGATGCATGATTAAGGCCATGATTGCTAGCTATTGCGCAGATCTGAGGCCCAGAGTCCAGACTTTGGAGAATCACACTTAACATCTGCCAGACCCCGGTTCAAGAGGACTGCGGCCCTCTAGCTGCCAGCTGCTTCCCTAAGACCCAACATTGCATCCTTTAAGTCAGGCCAACAGTTTTCCTGCTGTGCGCCTACCAACGCTAAACCTGCATTGTCTGTGCTCTTACATGGGAGGGGGGTAAGGACCAAGAGCCCAGCGGGGGCTGGAACCTGCGTTAGTGTGGGGGCGGGCGGTGATGTCATGTCCGAGAGCGAGGCTGCGCGGACAAAGCAGACGTCAGTGGAGCACCCGCCCCCCCTGGCCGCCCCCGCAAGCGCTCCTGCGTCAGCGGCGCGCGGGGGCGAAGGCCCGCAGGGAGGGGGACTGCGGAGAAGAATAAGTACATTTCCTGGCTTCGCGCGCCCTCTGCCGGCTCCGGTGGGCGTAACTGCCTCCCCTCACTAGGCACGACCTCTCCAGCACGCACGGCAGCTGGCATCATAAATCATTTATTTACTCTTTTACTTATCCATTTATTCGTGTATTTACTTATAGACAGGTTCCTATTATGTAGACCTGGATGACCTTGAACTCATAGAACCCCGCTTCCCTCAGCCTCCGGAGAGTTGTGATTAACTGCACTTGGCTTATATTTCATTCTTAGAAATGTAGTGCACACTTAGGAAATAGGTTCTTACTGTGTCGAGGAACTCGGTGACACTCCGCCAGCCTCCCGAGGGCTGGGATTGGAGGAGTGCGTCACCATACCTGGCTGGAAGTCTAAATTTTACCTCTCCCAACACATTATGGGTTTGCTTCTTCTTGACTTGGAATGCACGCTAAGCACCTCTACAGTGCTTGGCATCTGTCGTCCAGCGGGCATCCCTGCAGCGGGCAGGAGTCCAGCCGCGGAACAGCCTACTCCAGGGCGTCATTTGCAATTTGAAGGCGAAGGAAACTACAACTCCCAGGATGACCCACACCATCTAGGCTCCGCCTCCTCCTCCAAGGCAGCATCGCAGGGGTGGTGGTAAGACAAACTATACTTCCCAGAATGCCCAGCGAGTTCTGCCTCGAGAGCAGCCTACCCGGAATCGCAGTGCGCGCGTGCGTACTTGTGGAAACTGCGCCTCCCAGAAGGCTCCGCGCGTTGTCCTCCTCGCCCTCCCTCAAGGCCGCCTCGCTCGCTCTCCCAGTGTGTCCGCTGTCGCTATGCTGCCCGCTGCACTGCTTCGCCGTCCGGGTCTGCGCCGCCTGGTGCTCCAGGCGCGTGCCTACGCCGAGGCCGCCGCCCCCGCCCCCGCCGCCGGGCCCGGACAGATGTCCTTCACCTTCGCCTCCCCGACGCAGGTGCGAACTCGCAGTCCCGGGGGCTCCAAGCCAGACTTGACCCATGTGGGGTGGTCACCTCTATTGGGCCTTAAGTTCCGCCCCCACGGGGGCCATATGGACCCCTCCCCAGATCCCGCCCCTTGACGGGGTCACCTGGACCCCCAAGCCTGACCTGTGTTTACTAAAACTTATGCCCCACCCCTAAGGGCGTGCCACCTGGACCTAAGAGTCCAACTCTTGGGGAGGGGTCACCTATACCTGAATCGCGCATTTCCCCCCTGAGGGCGTGTCGCCTGGACCACAGGCCTCATCCCTTGGTGGAGGGTAACCCAAGCCCCATCCTGGGGTGGGTCACTAGGGTTCATATGAAACCTAGGCCCCACCCAGGGCTTAGGTGGTGTTACCTGAACTCTACGATTCAGATTCATATGGACCATGGATCCGAGACCCTAGATGCTGCCTAAGCAGGAGTCACCAGTACCCAGACCTGGAACCCTAGTTAGTGATTCCCTAGACCCAGATCCTGCCACTGACGGGTCACCTGGACTCAGAACAGAAGCCTGACCCCCTATTGGGGTCGTCTGGGACTGACCCAAGCTCCTTGTCCCAAAGAGTTCACTTGAACCCCAAAACCTCCACTGTGAGACCCCAGCCAGGGTTTTGCCAACATGCACTTGGCCTATTCATAAGCCAGACTCACTGGGCTGCCTATGTTGGCCTTGTACTTTCCATCCTCCCATAGCAACTTCCTGAGTAGGTGGGAGGACAGCCTTAGGGTCTCCCAGAAACCCCATCTCCAAGCAGCCAATCAAGCAGACCAGATTGGCATCGTGCTCTGCATTGTCCTCTGTTTCAGTCACCCTTTTAGACACTCCTTAGACACAGGCATCCCATTCCACAGGTGAGCAAGCTGAGTATAATGGCAGCACCTGTGTCCCCTCAGCATTTCACCCTCCTTGTGCCATCTCCATGCCTACCCCACACTATACTTTGTTTCAGGTGTTCTTTGACGGTGTCAACGTCCGGCAGGTGGATGTGCCTACACTGACCGGAGCCTTTGGCATCCTGGCATCCCATGTTCCCACACTGCAGGTCCTACGGCCTGGCCTGGTGGTGGTCCATGCTGAAGATGGCACCACAACTAAGTACTTTGGTGAGTGTGGCCCAGGGGAAAAGAGGCTCAGATCCCCACAGGGCATGGAGAAAGCAAAGGAAACAAATTTGCATAGGTCACCCAGACCAAGATGTAGTCATGAAAGCTGGCCTCACCTCAGCAGACAAAGACATGTTCAAGTGGCTGTTGAGGTGCTAGCCTTCAGAGTAGGTGAGCTTCAGGGCAGGACAAAGCCAGTCTGAAGAACCTGTTTCCAGGGTGGACTCCTGCCGTCAGATGAAGGGGAGTGTGTTGTCTCCTCTCATATCTCAGTATTTAACCATACTATGGATGCAGCCCAGGGCCTTGACAAGCATTCTAGGCAGGGGAGCTACCTGCAGCATCACTGGGGAATTCCAGCCAAGTGCTCTAACCCTGACCACCACCCACCCCACAGCCCCTCACTGGGGATTCTAGGTGGGGTTGTAAACTCTGGGTCATAATTCCTTTCAGTGAGGGGCTGAACCTGGAGTTTGCCTTCTGGCCAGGGTTGCTGGCCAGAGAGCCTCAGCTGCTGTCCTGTCTGTACTCTCTAGTGTGAAGCTTACAGGCACCTTTGGCCATGCCTGGCTTTCTCATGAGCTCAGGTCCTTCTGCATGCACAGCTGACTCTGTGGCTCCTTGGGTTTCCTTTCTTTTTGGTTTTCTGTTTTCAGGGCAGGGCCGCCTATAGCCCAGGCTGACTTTGAATCCCTGATCTTCCCTGCCACCTCCTGATTGCTGGGGATGACAGGTGTGTGCCAGCACACCCAGTTTCTGCTGTGCTGAGTGTTGAGCCCAGGGCCTTGTATACGCTAGGCAAGTGCACTACCCAGTGAGCCTCAGCCCAGATTCTCTTTTACACTTAGTTTGAGCTGAGACCTCACTGGGTTGTGTTCCAAGGGGCTGGGAAGACAACGTGCTTGGGACCAGCAGTCTTTTTGCGGCCACACACATGCTGCACCTGAACACTAGTCTTGTGGGGACCCCTTGGACTTGAGGCCATTACACACTCAGAAGGTAGAGGCTGGAGATGTGTGTGTGGCGTGTCTGCTTAGGCCTTGTCTCCCCCATAGTGAGCAGTGGCTCCGTCACTGTGAATGCAGACTCCTCAGTACAGCTACTGGCTGAAGAAGCTGTGACCCTGGACATGCTGGACCTGGGGGTGAGCAGATGGGGAAACTGAGGTTCGGGGTATGGGCAGGTCCTCTTGTCCTGCCTGGCCCTCAACGTGGCCCACTCCTCTGCAGGCAGCGCGGGCCAACCTGGAGAAGGCGCGGTCAGAACTGTCCGGCACAACGGATGAGGCAGCACGGGCTGAGATCCAGATCTGCATTGAGGCCAATGAGGCCCTGGTGAAGGCCCTGGAGTAGGCGGTGCATGTCTGTCACCCACAGGGAAACTGAGGCAGGTCCAGGCAGTTGGAAACTGTTCCCTGGAGCCTAGTCAGTTGGTTGCTGCTCCAGTTGCCACAAGGGGGCAGCAGTGCTCCAACCACTGGCTTAAAAAACTTCCTGGTGCCTTGTCTGGCTTGGAGGTCTTTCCCCAGCCTTCCCACAGCCTGGGATCCCCACGCCACCCCTGGAGAGCTGGCACTGCTCTCCCCCACCCCCATCCCCACCCCCATAGCCACCGGACAGTCAGCTTGCCCTGGCTTGCCTCCATTAAACACCAGGAACCAACTGAGTGTTCTGGTTTCTAACTCTGCATAGCACAAAAAGCCAAGACCCCCCACCCCAGCCTGAGGCTCCTGTATCCCAGCCCCCAGAAGCACTCAGGCAACAGTGGGTGGGGCACATGTTGGCTAGGCTGTTGGGGTGCTGTCTGCTAGGGTGGGTGGGATGGGCAAGGGTTGAGGGGCAGGCAGTGATGGGTGTGGCTACAGCTGCTGGCCCAACTCAGCACCCTGACCACCAGCCAGGCCAGGCCCTCCCTTTGAGGCCCCCTGCCCCACCCCACAAGCTCTGGGAAGAGGCGTGCATCACCTGCTCCCACGGAGACCCCGCCCTAGGCACACCCCACTTGTGGGTGGCCCTAGCCTAGGCTGGCTACCTTCCCAGTCCCTGGTGCAATTGGCACCTCCTTAGGCATTTAGGCCCCTAGCTGGCCCCAGGTGGGGTGGGGTGGCCTGGGAGGAGCAGCCCTGGCACCACCACACCCCTTTCTACACCCACCATCCCAGGATGGCCAAGTTCTGTTTGACTTGCCTCCTCTTCAGGGGCCTGAGGGAGACACCAGTTGGGGGTGCGAGGGCGAGCAGGGTCAGAGCCTGCCATCGCTAGGTCACCTGAACCACCTTGACAGTGACTGCAGACCAACCAGGGCCTAAGTAAGTACAGCTGTCACTGCATCAGGGCCCTGTGAGGGTAACTCCCCATAGCTACCTGAGCCTGATCTGGGAATGAGTGTGCTAACTCCACATACTAGCAGCCTGGGGGGTATTCCCAGGTAAGTCACAGGAGGGTCATGCTAGGTCCCCACCTAGCCCAGGTCAGGCTTAGAGGTGAGGGCCCTAGGTCATTGAGGTCATCATACAGGGCCTGCCCAGGCCCCACCCTCTGTCCTCAGGCAGAGAGCCCAGGTCCTGACTGACCAGGTGGCCACCAGGGGTCCTGTCAGTTAAACCAAAGACACAGGTTGGGCAAATGTCAACAGGAACCCCAGGACAACCTGACCAGGGCTAGTACACATTGCATTCTGAGTCCCTCAGCGTCTCCCCACTCCTAAGAAGAACTATGAGCTTTGGCAGGTCTCAGGACAGGACAGCCTGTGTTGGCTGAGCTGTGGGGTGGGAGCTTCCTGGAGGGCAGGGCCTGGACAGAGCACTGAGTCTTGGGGCTTCACACCTAGGGGCAAAGGATCACAAAGGCTTAAGATGTAGGAAGCAGGAAGTCTGGGTTCCCTTCATTTTTTACACTAGCTTCCCGTCTAAGTGTTCTGTCAGAGCCAGCTCACCTCGCCTGTCACCAGCCCATATCACATTCTTTTCTGTGATATCTTCTGAGGCCAATCTTACCTCTGGCTTCCATACCCTACAACTCTGGATGGTAAAGGTATCCTTCCTTCCCAAAGGAACTCCTGTTCAGCCCTCAAATTCCCTGGGCTGCCAAGTGCTCTCTGGCCTGTGAGTGACCCTGGGGGCCTGGAAGTGTTGGGGCCCACCTCCCTGCCTGGGGTGCCCAGCATGCATAGTGCTCAGCCAGAGCAGGAAGGAGACTTACGAAGGAACTGGCCTGGGAGGGGCTCCCAGGGTAAGGGTGGTAAAGTGTTCAGGTCAGATAAAGGCAGGGTAATGAAAGTTGACCGGAGGGTCTAGCATGCCCTGGAGGGTCCAGCCCCACCCAGTCTGCTCCACAGGGTGGGTGGTCAACCACTCCAAAGATCCACTCCTGAGATGTTGAGAAGGGATTACACCCGGGGGTGCTGAATGCCCTGCAGGAGGCTCTCCTTAGGTCATCTGGCTGCCTTGGCACACGCTTTCAAGGTCAGTGACCTAAGCTGATTCCTGGGACCCATATTCGGGAGGGAGAACCAACTCCCACAGGTTAAACCCTGACCTCCACATGCACCATGCACAGGGTGCTGGTGCGTCAGGGACTGGGCCACTCATGGAGGTTACACCGGTGACTGGCCTAAGCAGGCCAGGGGTGGTTGAATCGTCACAGAAATGGCCTCTGAGGTCACCCTTAAAGGATGTGGAGGCCAGGCCATCAGGCAGCTGTCCCGGGCACCCCAGTGCCTAGCAGGTGACACTGCCCTGTTTTTCTGAACCCAGCCTGCTGACTCAGGAACCCCTTCCCGTCCCGCCCCCCTTCCCCACACCCCCTTACCCACACGGG